TATACAAAGTTGGGTGTGGTGGCACGCGCCTGTAATCCCAGCACTCAGGAGGCTGAGGTAGGAGGATCGCTGTGAGTTCGAGATCAACCTGGGCTACATAGTGAGTGCCAGGTCAGTCTCAACTACATAGTGAGACCCTGTCTCAAAAAACCAAAACAAAACAAAACTTGTATATACAATGAATATTCAAAGAAACACACTTTAAATTTGTTGGAAAATATATTTTAAAATAAAAACCCATCATATTCCATTTAGAGAATTTAAAAAATTAATTGACAAGCAGATCTTTAAATTTGTAGGCACTGATTTGAGAAGTGGTGATAAGAGGAAATCTCTTCCTCAAAGGGTTTGAAAAACAGAGTTTAGAGGTGAGAAATATGTGGGCTGAAAACATCTCATTGTAGAAAAGATTTTATAACTTTTTAAATAAGGGCAGTTCCAGAGCTAAGCAGAGTAAATGAGTTTGATTTAGTTTTTCTTTGACACTACAATTATGGTACATTGGTTATTTCTTTATTGTGTAACAAGACACTATTATGAATATAGCTCAGCAGGACCATTTTTCTACTGGTGCTATCTGGGTCACTCAAGTGGGCAGTTTTGATTCATTAAGCAGTTTAAAAAGATAGCCTAAAATAGTTTCCAAAATATGTCTGGCAGTTCACACTGTTTGGTCCAAGAGGTTTCCACTAGAAGAGTTCATCTTTAGTGTATACAGCCTGTCATTTTATGGCAGGCTTTCTGCATGCACAGTCTCAGGGAAGTATTCCAAAGGGTGATACTGAAAGCTGAAAAGCTTGAGGCCAAGGATTGGAAATCATTCAGTATCACTTCTGTCACATACTATTGGTCAAAGTCACCAGGCCAACCCAGACTCTACTTCTTAATAGGAGGAGTGATAAAGTCATATTGCAAACAAGTGGAGATACAAGGATAGGAAGAAGTATAGTCAACTTTCCCAATAATCTAGTACAAGAAGAGCTGTGTAGAAATGCCTTTTTGTGTAAAAGTAAAATTATAAGCTATTTGCCACCCAAAGCACATTCTCTATAAAAATAAGGGACAACTCTACTATCAATTACCTATATAGCACTCTGCAGTTATTAAGGTTAATTCATAAATATCTCACTTGATAATTTATTCAACACATTTCTTTTGGCTAAACACTGTGATACACTCTGAGGATGTAGACCTGAGCCTGGCCCTCAAATAGCTCACAGTCTACAGTGGTAAAATAAATACTGAATAAAAAATAATAAATCAAGAAATGAGAATAACAAGATTAATATTATGACAGGACCATACAAGAGATATTTGTAATAACTACAAGAGGCAAAATAGGTTACTAATTATTATTCTCATCTTCAGATGAGGAAACAAGTTATAATCAAATTATCTAAGTAATTTATCTAACATTACTCAGGTTCTAAGTGACAGAATTTGAAATTTTAAAAGTTTATTTTCAAAGGTCTGTTTTTCCTAATGAACTCTTCTGCCTCCTTGGACATCAATACTGTTATAAGTAACTGAAACGGAAAAAAAAAAACACTAATAGATAAATAAACCCTTAGACAATGGCACATATTTCATGGGGATTCTATTGAAAGGACTTCGGGGTTTACAGCTTTAGAGATTGATCATGTAATGTATAGCATATGTGTTCTAGAATATCATCTATAACAAGACATTTTATCTAGACTATCACTTGGGTTCAGTAAATTGAAAATGATACATTTAAAAAATATTAAGGGAAGGGGTTCTTTAACATGATTATGTAAAGACAACAAAAAAGTTTAGATGAGAATAAGTACACTAAATTTCCACTACAGAATGAACTATACTATACCCACTTTACTATGCAATTAACTTAATTGGAAATATACACATCTTGGCCTCAAATTTTTTGAAATAAAAGGATATAAATTATAGATAAACTCGTGAGTATATGAAAATGCACACCAATATACATGTATAAAGGTATATGAACACAAAAATTTGAAATATTATCAGTTTGGTTTTAGTATTTCATTTCTTATCTCTAAGAAACTGGTATACCTTTCAATCTAACATTGGGCGTAAAGAAAATTTTAGTCTATCTGGGTCATTTTTTCTTTCATTATCCTATTACTCCATTTGTGGCATTATCTAATCTTCATCCAGCTCTGGTCTGTTAGAAAAGCTAACATTAAACAGCTCAAAAATCTCTTAATCTGCCTGTTATGTTTCAAATATAGACAGTTGCCTTAGTCAGCTTCCCATCATCAAACTACAATACCTGTAAAGGTACAAGATCCCAGTAATGAATGGAACTGTACTGTTTACCTAGAATGTACCAATAAATTAAATTTTAAAAAAAAACCTACAATACCTAACACCCACAACTTAAAGGAGGCTTATTCCGGCTTACACCTTCAGACATGTCATCATGGTAGCCAGCTCCATGGGAGAAATGGTGCGGTGGAAGAGCCTGGCAGAGGAAAGCTGCTCATGTCAAGGTGGTCAGGAAGCAGAGGGAAGGGAAGATCCCTGGAGGGATACATATATCCTTTCAGGTCACACCCCCCCAGTAACCGGCCTCTTTTCACCAGGCCCCTCCTGCTAACAGTGTATTAGCTCTGAACCCATGATTCAATCAGTTTCTAAGAGCCCCACCTTTGAACACATGAGACATTCTAGATCTAAACCATAACAACAGTTTTCCAATATATTTCTCTTACGTGAATAATGTTTTAAAATTTTTACTGTACAGATCTGTGTGGAGCTAGAACTTCAGTATGTTGTTGACCTCTAATTATTTTTCTGTAAAATTCTGGTTGATAGTCATGGATAATTGAGAATGGCTTTTTCTCTTGGAACTGTTCTCTGCACCAGGTTTGCTCTCCCTCTTCTTTCTCTCTCTTCTGTGCAGCCAAGCAGTGGTAAGAGGGGAAATAGAGACTGGAATCTTCTAATTGTATTTTTGAATGGTTTACAGTTGCAAAGAATGTATTGATTCTTTCTGACTTTGGGACAAGCAAGGAACACTTGGTTGTCTGCAACTGCTGGTAGCCTTTCCCAGAGCTTCTGGGAAGGAAGCTCAAAAGGAGGAGAGTCTCTGTAGGTGAGGTAGATAATGAAAAACATCAGTAGCTCTACAGAACACTTATCCAAGGTGAAGGGCAATATGCTCAGGAGCTAGTTTGTAAAGTAGATGTCCAGATAATCAAATACCTCCTTGATTGTGCTTAATATATCACTGTCAGCTTGTGGCTCTTGGATGGTGCAGCTCTGGAGGTTCTAAAATTCTGCCTTTGCAGACAGCAGAAACTTCTGATTGTCGCTGTGCCTTTTTATAGCACTCAAAGTAGTTCTGATCTGACTCATTCAACAATGTATGCATGTGCTACAAATTTAAGCCTTATTATTTTAAAATATTTTCTAGAAAACAGTTTAATCAGACTAAAAATCCATTTGCCTTATCCCATTCAATTTCATCATTTCATTTGTCAATAAAAAAGACAGAACTGCTGGACTCTCTGGATACATCAACCAACATACAGTTGGAATGGTTGCAAAAGAAGATGTTCACAAATTTTTATTACCAATTTGTACAAAGTTTCTCATGGTAACTGGATTAGTTTCCCACATACAAATTACCACAAATTGGATTACTTACAACAATAAATATTCCTTCTCTTATAAATCTGAAATACGTTTCACTCAGTGTAAATCAGTGTTACCAGGCTTATACAACCTTCAGAGGACTTGGGAAAGAATCCATTTCACTTCCTTTTCTTGTTTAGGGAGAATATCTTCATTCCTTGGCTCATGGCCTTGCAAGACACTGCCTTTTCTCTCACTGATTCCATCGTCACCTTGCTTTCTTCCTCTGTCTTTTTCAAATCTCCCTCTACCTACATTTAATGAGGAACCTGTGATTACATTTAGGACCCACCCAGATAATTCAAGATAATTTCTCCATCTGAAAATTTCTAATCACATAGACAAATCCCTGTTACCATAAAGGGTAACATTCACAAATTTGGGGGATTAGAACCTGGTTATTTCAGGGGTTAGTAGGTAGTCTCTATAATGACTACCATGAATTTTAAAAGGTTATATTTTGAAAGTCTTGTTAAGAAATTACATATAACTATTCGAGCATAAAATCTTGTTAAAAAAGACTATGATCATGTAGGCAAGTTCATATTTCCCTTTAAATATTGAAAAGATTTTTATATAAGTTCAACATTTAATATTTCCCTTATTGCTTTGTATTCATTTTTACTTTTGCAATTTTATATCTATTTATGCTTTTTTTCTTTTAAAGATAGGTTCTCACTCAGGCTGGCCTCAAACTCATGGTGATACTCCTGCCTCAGCCTCTGAAGTGCTGTGATTATAGGCATGTGCCAACTATACCTGGTTGTAATTTTATATCTATTTAAAAAGCAATAATCACTTATCAGATCCAATATAGATATCCAAACATTCCCTCTAGGTTATTCCAAGATGCAATACAAATATTCTACAAGTTTAGAAAATTAATATGATGGATAAAAGAAAGACGGGAATGTAAGTGAGCTAAGTCCCTATATATTATAACAGGAAGTCAAAATATAATGCCTAACAGCCAGAAGCCAAATAAATATAATTTAAGAAAGACATACAGTACAACACAAATGTTTAGAAATATAGAGGTAACTATCAGAAGAAAAATGATTGTCTCTAGGATAAAGAGAGATAGGGAAGCAGAGCATCGCTACCTTATGTAATAGATATTTTGTAATAAGAAGAAAAGGTCTAAAGGTGTTAGGCAAATGGGAGGGGTAGGGGAAAGGTAAAAAGGGAAGGAAAAATAAGAAGTAAAGGAAAAAATGGAAACAAGGTCTTTGTAAATAATGAAGGGTGGAGGGGAAAGGGAGACTAGGGGAATGCGGAAAAAATAAGAACGAAGATATGTCATGTAAAGGTACAAGATCCCAATGATGAATGTAACTGTATTGTATATCTAAAATGTACCAATAAAAAAAACTGAGAGCATATAAAGTTTTTCTTTATGTTTATTCCTGGACTGGTCACTGAAGGTAATGATTCTTCTGCTTCTATTCTCAATGAGCATCTGGAGATACAGTTTGGCACATGAATGAGATACAATAATTTCATGGGCATCCCATTTCTCACACTGTCCCCTGGAAAACATGCAGAACAGGAGAAATATGGATGGCTCGGTAAGGACCATTCTTCTTCAACTCTTAAAGGAGAACCTACAGGGAAATTATTGATAAACATGAACAAGATTATACATGTTCTGGTTAAACTGTATTCTTGTGAACCTAAAGACTTAAAAGCATTAAGAGTGGTTTATTTGTTCTTTGGATAACTATCTTTTTAAAAAGCATCTCAATTATTTGAAATAATTTCTAGTGTTCTGATATAAAAGTTATATAATGTTCAAATATAATTTAAAAGTCATACTGTGAACAAATGGAAGGATATGTCTCAATTTAAATTCACAACATGTTTCGCAAACTTCCCAGTTCAAGAATGACAGGGTGTTGGCAACAGGAAAAAGGAAAGTCTTTCTCTTCCTCAAGTATTTGGAAACCACATTCTAGACTACTCATTCAGCACTAGTAGTTCACTTCATATATATAATTTGATATAGTTTTCCAGTTATCCCTGTTTGGTTACCTTTTAAATGAAATGCCTAATTGTTAAATCTAGTTAGTAACTGACAACTGCTGACTAAGAGTAGCCCCCTTTCCTCCTTCATGTGGGTGCCCTAGGATTTAAATGGGTAAAGATGGGAGCCAATATTGAGTGTGGGCAGTAGTCCACTATATAACTGCTGCCTGGGATCTTGGCTAAATAGTCTGGGCACAACAGAGAAATTTTTATGTCTATGATATGTCTCCTCAACTGTACTATTATATTTTCTTGTGTACAGATGGGGAAAGATAGATTAAAAAAAGAAAAAGAAAGAGACCATACACATTATTTTATATTTTAGCAATTTCAAAATCACCCCCTATTAGGTTAATGTTCATGATGACTGTTAACAAACAGGGCACTTTATTTACTATTATTTTTATACTTCGGCCGAGTTCATATTTAAAAATCTTTACCTCAATATAAATTAAATTTATCATTTATGGTTCTCAGAGAGTAGAAAGCAGGATCCAATACTATGAAATAAAAACATTCAGGGTTACTAAATTAAGGTAGTCGGTCAATATATACTTACAGAGTACTTGGTACGTACCAGACATAGTCTCAAGGAATCACAAAGAATCCTTAGAAATAGTGAAGCAGACATTGTTTCCTTGTTAATAGAAAGTTCCTGTTTAGAATAAAGGAAAAGATATGGGAAGGTTATTATACATTTCAGGACATGGGACTAGTTAAATCAAACTGAATTTTTTTTATATTTCTATGGGGAAGTAGAAAGAAGGATTGAAGAAAGACATAGGCAGAATTTATATTATCTTTGGGTAGTTACATGTGGTACCAGACAAAAATTTGCTTCCAGACTTTCTTTTAGATTGTAATCCACCTCATTCCAACTCTATCCTTGCTCACAAACTCCTTCCCAGACACTCATCTTCATCTTCCTTTAGATCCCCCACAAGTTTCTGCAAAGGTTTAATCTATAATTCTATCCATTACAGATTTATAATGCTGATATAAGTATCAATAGTATGCACCCTGAAAGGATATTACAAAGTAGTATAGTAAGAAAAAAAGAGTAAAGATGAAGAGAGATAATGAGATGTTTCAGGGACTGAAATGCATATAGAAAAATAAGCAGTTGACTTCTAAGCAGGCCATGGCTCCACAGTCTTAGAAAATCCCATATCTTTCTTCACTATCCCCTCATGATCTGTCAGATAAGACATTTCCTGGAGGCTCCAAGAAAATAGGAAGCTCTTTACAAAGTATTTGAGGGTTCAGAATTTAAGATTCTGTATAAAGAAATTCCATTTCAACACACTCTGAAAATAATATTGGGAAATGGACTCTGGAGTGTCAAATCTCTAAGAACCACTACTTGAGAGGTTACAGATTTAACCACTGAAGATGGGTAGGTATTTATTTTTTGGAGATTTGAGGTAGAAAGTGTATAACATTCTTTGGTACTATTACTCAATATTTAATGACTCATAGATGAAGTTGTCATTCTTAGGAATTACCAAATGCTTGTGCTGCAATTAAAACCCATTTCCTTTCTTTTAATCTGCTGTCAAGGTAGAAAATAATGGATCACTCTTTCTTATAATAAAACTTTTATAATTAAAGACTCTTCATTGCTCCCACCACCCCTTTTTTTCAAGGGCCCAAATCTTTACTGGTGTTTTATTTAGTTGTTAATGCTGATTCACAAATACAGCTCATTCAGTGCTGGAGCAATTTCTCTGTTCACAAGAATATAAAGATTCTGATCAACACTGCCAGTCTCCAAATGCTGATATTAATCTGTATACATCTGAATTTTAGATACTTTGGTTTTATTTTGAGGAATAAGTTTTATAGCTGTGAGATTTAGGGTGTTATCTTTTTATATACCACATAAACAAGGGATCAATGACAGTCATTCTCTAATGACAACTGATCATTGGCCTTTTCTGTGCTCTTTTAGAAACATTTCCGTAGGAGCAGTGGAACTACAAAAATTGAATTTCTTTGTTTAGAGAATAAGTCATTTTAAATTTTTTAGTTTACTTAGTAGAATAATATTGCCCAGAGTCTAGGAAGTAGTTGTTTAAGGGCACTGTTACATCCGTATTGATGCGAACTATTTGTATCACGAAGAGTAAATATTAAATCTGACAGGCATCATATAAGGTGGGGTTGGCAATAAAAGGAGTGACGTCGCAGCCAGGCTAGTGTCAATGTTCCGCTTTTAAACATCCTCGTTTCTTTAAGGACCTTAAGAATCTATCAAAAGGAAAGCATCTCTTGAGGGGGCGATGCAAGCCAACTTTCACACTGATCAGAGAAGTAAATGCCTAAGCACAGGGCCTATTTCTACAGGATGAGAACGGGGGCAAGGGCGATAGTTGTGGTTGAGGGAGGCTTCCTTTGGCACGTTCTCTTTGACGCCCTAAGTCCTTCCACTTTATTAAGCGACACACATTCCACTGCTTACTGCGGGATGTTTGCTCAACCCCCTCAAACCATAAATGGCGAGAAAATTAGGATCCACCGAGAAGGGCCTGGACTCTCTCGGGCTCCATCCACTGAGGTTTCTTCACTCTCAGGTACGCAGGCACGTTTTTACAGACTACAAAAATAAATCACTGGGGCTTGGGTTCCGTCCCTTGCAGAGATGTCTGCAGACGTATGGAAGTACTACAAAGGTGACATCCCTTGCTGAGCTCGCTACCGCGGCAGTTGCTATTCCCACGCGCGGGATTCCAGAGTCTGCCTCAGCGCCTGCCTCCGCACTGCTCTCTCCTGCGGCAAGCGCCCCGCCCCCTGCCACCTCCGCACGTCGCATTGGCTGGCCAGACCCCGCGTTAACTTTAGCTTCTGATTGGCCGTAGCTCTCGGTAGGGACATTTCCGCATTGAGGGGGGTTGCTCTGAATGGAGGGGGAGGGGAGGTGTTTCGGAGAAAGTGGGGGCTTTGGGTGTCGCGAGCCGACTGACTAGTGGGAAGAGGGGGGACAGCAGCTGGGCTGCGATTGTTGGTGAAAGGTTCCAGGTGTGCCCGTGTGAGGGAACAGGGGAGAGAGGAGTGAGTGCCTCAGAGGTCACATTCTCTCAGCCCGCGAGCCCTCTTCCTGGGGCGCCGTAAACACCCCACTTTCTCAGCTGCTAAAAGAAGAGAGGAAGGTGGGTCGCTGGCGGCTGGCGGAGGGGCGGGGTCGGGCTTCTGGCGACCCCGGGTGGTGTTTGTTTCTCTCTCTCAGAGGCGTGGAGCTCATTCCCGACCCACTGTGGCTCCGAAGGCCGAATCTGAGATTTGAAAACGCGCAGGGCAGAAGGGACGAAAATATGCCTGGGAAGGGCTGGCCCTAGGCAGGGAGCCCGGGGGGACGCGCGGGTTCACCCCCTCACCCGTGGCCTCCCGGCGTCCGCTTGGGGGAGGGGCGTCGTAGCCGCCTCTAGGCCTCTGCCGGGAAGAGCCGCGGCCGGCGTCGCCGCTCCTGTGGGGAGCTACAGGCCCCGGCAGTTGGTCCGCCCGAGCACGGAATTCGTAGCGCCTCCTCGTCCCGGGATATTTATGGTCTGGCAGAAATGGTTGCATCTGCCCCACTTTGCCGGCTTCACCCGCCTTCCTGAGCCCTGCTCGGGCGGCAGCCGCAGTTGGCTGAGGCTTCCCCGGGAACCAGCGGGAGACTGGACGGCGGCGCTAGGGAGCCGGCCGGGGGGTGGGGTGGGGGCGTGCGGCCCGGGGCTGCTGCGGTCGGGCCCCAGAGGGCGTGGAGGACGAGGGGCGGTGAAACAGCCGCTGTGGGTCCGCCTCTTTCATTGATGAAATTTAAGTTCGTGCGCTTTTACCTTTTCGGGAGTCTCCAGCTGCCCCTCAGTTGTGTCAGGAACGCCGAGTAGCCAGGAGTTCCCGAGCAGACTGGGTCGCACCAAGTTTCCGTCTTTTGGAATTGGGAAAGGTTTTCCTAGGTGGTGTTTTTTGGTTTTTTGTTTTTTTTGTTTTTTTTTGTTTTTGCCAGTTTTAATCACTTTGAATACTCCCTTAAAGTAGCTAAACATAGGAAGAAAAAGAACACGTCGAGTGTTAAAAGCAAGAAAGATCTGCCCTATAGTGTGACTCCTCTAGAAAGCCAAGTATTTTAGTAAAACCCTAAGATGTCGAGATTTGTTCAAGGTAAGATATATTTGTTCTTATCTCCCGGGTTTCTTAAACCGAACTTGGGTGCTGGAAGTTGAGAGATTGGTGGGTGGGTGGTTTGAAAGTGGAGTTGTTCATTTGAGGTACCATTTGCGAAATCCTTTTCATTAAATTGACATTTGAGCTTCCTTTAACTGTTCGCTGGGTTGGCGTTTCTGATAAGTATAATATAGGTCCCTGTGCCCTGCTGGGTTTAGTTCTGCCTCCCTATAATCAGGTTAGTAGTACTCTGGCTCCTCGATAGTGGGTGTTAATGATTAAAACAGGGTTTTGTTTGCTGATTAATCCTTGTACTCTTTCCGCGTTCTCTGTCAAGGTACTTGTGAGTAGCGCTTGGACGGGAAAGGGAACCCGGAGGGCTGGGGGGGAAGCAGGTGGGTTTGCCAGGACTCTAGAGGAGGCTTTAGTGTTCTTTTCTACTCTTGTTAGTGTGTACATGGTTTGAGCCTGAGATTCATTTATTGCGAAACAGGGAGTAGTCTGTTGAAGCTGGAGGTCGTTTCATCTGGAGAAATGACTTTGCTGCATTGCTGTGTTTATTTTTCCTTTGAAATATGAAAAGATTAAGATTTCAGATTTGAAAATTGTCCTTTAAATTCCACATGTATGTTACAAAACATTAGAGAATACCAATCAACTGAGCTAAACAATAACATTGCTTTTGCGTATGGGAAAGTGTGTATGTAATCTATATAGATTGAAATGAGTGTTGTCCTAAACCTCTGTACCAGTTTGTAGCACAGGGTTTGCTTTCTGTGTGCAAGTAAACTCTTTCCTTGCAGTTCCCAGTTTGTGAAAGCTTCAGCCATCTTGCTGAATGCACAGCTAGCAAAGTTCACAATCACTGAATGTAATTTTCAAAAAAATGTAGATGTACTTTATGAAACAGTTGTGTTAGTAATGCTCGACTTTTGACCCTGGGAATAAAACTGGCCTAGGGAGTTCTGCATCACTTTATTAACTCTTCTCTAAGTTTTAGGTTAACAGATTAAGAGAATCTGACTGCCTTCATTATTAAGGAAACAGATGGGACCCTTATGCCTGTCATTAACATTAAATTCAGAAATGTCACTTGTCATTAGACTTTCAAATTCGTGTTATACTTTATATATGTACTAAGAGACACTTCTTTAAGTTCTGATTAAATAAATATCTTATTCAAGATTAGAAAGGCAAAGGTGGTTTAAAAACTTGTTTTGTAATCACAACTGAGTTGAGTACTCTAAAGCCTGAATTGTGCTTGCAATAATGTGGCAGGGAAAAATAGACAAGTCACTTTGCTTTCAAAATTAGGATTATTAAACTGAAGGTACTCCATATAGTTATGTTTTTTTAAACTTTGAGTTGCTTTTTAGATCAGCCTTTTTAAAAATTAATTTTATTGGTACATTTTAGTTATACAGCATAAAGACATTCATCACCATGTAGTTATGTTTTAAAGTGGCTTTAAAGTTGGTTCATATGAACAGCTTTTGCTGTTAAGGTTGTCCTTGAGAGATTCTAAATCAAGTAGCAGGGCCTCAGAGTGGCCAAGTATATCTGTCATTATTTTGCATGCACTTTTTTAAAAAAGGGTTTATTTTGGAATATTGCATTTATAGAAAAGTTGCACATTTGTCAAAACTAAGAAATTAACACGGGTGCATTTCTAGTATCTGTAAACTTCAGATTACCAGTCCCATGATTCATCCCAAGGTGCCACATTACATTTACTTGCCATCCAGTTTGACTTTAAATTGTAGTTTTCTTTTTGCGGGGGGGTACTGGGGATCAACTCAGGTCCTTGCGCTTGCAAGGCAGGCTCCTGAACCACTGAACTAAATCCCTGGCCCTTGTAGTTTTCTTTTTATTTTTTTAATTTATTTTTTCTTGTTATTGAGTTTATTGGTACATTCTAGGTATACAGTACAGTTACATTCATTACTGGGATCTTGTACCTTTACATGACAGGTCTTGGTTCTCATTTTTTCCCCTTGTTGTAGTTTTCTTTTTAAATTGGGAGTTTTACACAAAAAGGTGACACCCTCCCAAAAATATTTTTGTATGTGATTGTGTGCCTGTTTATCATTGTTTTAAGTTTTGTACTTCAAGTATGAGTTCTTTCTATGTAACTCTGCCAGTGTTATAAATTATAAACCTTATTGGCTAATGATACAGATGATCCATGTATCTGTTTTAAAGTGTAATGATTATAATTTTGTTTTTGATTTTATAAAGCAAATCAAATTCTTTGATTTTCTTTTTCCCTGAAGAACTTACTGATATTTCTACTTATTAGTACTTAAATCATGCTACTTCATAGAAAAAAGGGTTAACATTTTAGGTTCCTATTTTTGTACATTGACTCATAAGAATCCTACAAGTAAATTTTTATCATTACTACATGAAAAAAAGTTAAAGGTGGATGTGGTGGCACACACCAGTAATCCCAGCACTCTTAAGAGGCTGAGGCAGGAGTATCACAAAATCATGCCCAACTTGGGCAATTTAGACTGAACATTTTTTTAAAAAGATGTGTGTATTGTTCAAAGTTCACAGCTAGTAAGTAGCACTGAAATTTACATATATCTAAAATCTTGGTCCTTTACACCACCTTTTATTGCTTCATGCATTAAAAATAATAGACATGGCTTATTTCTCCAACTACACTGTCATTCTCTTTGGGTTTGAGGGAAATACATTCTAAATAAGTGAGTGTTTTGAAACTATAGGTTAGTCTACATTTTTAGTTGTAGTTTCATAACACCTCTTAGGTTACATGAATGTTGACTAAGATAGAGTATTTTGGACTTAAGTTTGAGTCTTCTTACAAAGAGGTGACAGGTGCCATACAAGTTTTCTGAACATGTTTCTGTCTATATAAAAATTAGGTGTTGGGGAGTATACCTCGGTAGTAGAGCATATGCTTAATAACCCCCAGCACTGGAGAAGAAAATGAAATAGGTAATGTTTGTACCTCAAGGTTATTAAGAAGCTGAAATGAGACCAATTATATTAGTATGCTAAGCACATATTAGGTGGCCAATAATTTTTTTTTCTAAAAAATCATTGTAGCCTTTCAGACAGCCAGAAATATTATAACCACATGTCATCAATAAAAATAAAAAATAAGGTAGTTCTTTATTTTCCTATTCCAGGTTTGGTGTTCTGGCTCAGGCACTTGGGAATTGATATGTTTAAAAAAAATGTGCATAGAATAAGGTAGGGTAAAGTTTGGACAGTGTGAGGAAGTAATGCAGGTAGGTGTCAGTTTTAGTTTCAGCCTAGTCAATAAAAAAAATTTTAAAGTCTTACTACATACAGTGCACTGTATAATATTGGAATTTCTGGTGTATCGCTTCTGCTGGGCACTTAAAGTTCATCAGATCCAGGTATTATTTATGCATTGTATACATGTACCATATTTTTGAATGTCATAGAAAATGAGGTTGCTGCACTTGGCTTGAATCTGTCTCCAAAACAGTCCATGTATTTGATGGTAAATCTGGGGATCTCCATCCTCAAGCACTTGGACCATAGACTAAATTGGAAATATTCTCTCAATAAAAATAGTTAAGTTTGATACACAAGAGAGTTCTCAAAATATACTCCCTGGCCAAAAGAAGTTTGAGGTTTCCTTGGCTATCACTACAAGTCTGTGTTCCTAAGTTGCTTAAGGTTCTTTCTCTTAGGAAGACCCCTCTTTACTGGCTCTACAGCATAATTCTTAGGTGGTATATTTTTGCCCTCAGGTCACCCTCTGCTTGCCATGAAATATCTCCAGCTCTAGTTTTCTCTGCCCCAGGGATTGTTACAATGCCTCTAATAACTGTATAAATGTGAGCACTATCTATTTCCTAGCTTTTCACATTTGGAAGTGCTAGAGGTCATCAGTTATGTTTCATCGCCAGGTTTGTCAGTGGGTGTCATTTAGAATTTTGCTTTTAAAAGGTCCTGAGTTATCTCCCTAAATGTTATTTACTTATAAGTGGTAAAGACTCATGTTGTCTAGCCAACTAAAGCCATATTATGCGCTTATACTGTAAAATTGGGGACATTACAATTTTTAAAAATGTTACTAAGTTATATAAAAATGTCCCTTATTTTTAAGTTGAGGCACTTTGTCATTTTTTAGGGAAAGCTATTTAAGTACCTCTGTGTCACTTAAAAAGTATTTGAGACCTGTCAGCTTGCCCATTTGTTGAAATTCTTTTGTGACTCTTGGTGATTCCCATTTAGAAGATGGCAACTAGCCAAGGAAGATTACTGCGCTAATTATAACTAGAAGGGTCTCAGAGGAGTACAGAGATGAGAAGCATTCTGGGGCCTAGTTGTCAAGGTGGGATCTTAGCCTGGTTCTTCTCAAATTCTAAAACCAACTTTAGCTTGTTCACTTAAGTGACTGGGTGTGGGATACTTTTAAAAACAGGAGGATTTGGCATGGATTTGAGTGAGGCCTAGCAGCAGCCAAATACCAACTGAAGCATACCCCTCATTTTTAAAAATTGTAATTCAGTATTTGTTGTGTTGCTAGAAGAGAGAGAGAGAGGGATTTAGTTCAGTTCAGTCACAGCTGTAAAGGTAAAATTGAAAGAAATTAAAAATAAAGAGTTGAGCTGATGAAAATTTTATTGACTCTTTTCTAACATGGACCTTGTAATCTCTGCGCTTAAATTTCCCTTGTTCTTACTAACTCAGCCTTCTAATAAGATGGATGATTTTCATTTGTAAAAGCCTATTGAAGAAAAAAATTGACAGCATATTAGAGAAGTAATATTAACTGGTACACTTCTTGGAAGTTCCATTTTGACATTCTGAAAATACATTGAAATGTTTGAACAGTAGGTATTTTTTTACAATATCACTTCACAGACCATTCTGTCTCTGTGTGTGTGTGTGTGTGTGTGTGTGTGTGTGTGTGTGTGTGTGTGGTTTTCTTCAGAGATGAGTTGTAGCAAAATTAAAATACCTTGTATGAGGAATATTAGTTGGCCTAA